CGCCGGAAGCAGAAATTCAGCATTTTCGAAAGAAAAATGTGTATTGGAATGGCCTTTTTTCGGCGCCGCCTCGGAACTCGATTTTCCAGCGCCCGGGCGCCGGCTCGGGCGCCGACCCGGGCGTCCGGCCCGGGAGCCGCTCTCGGCGGCGAGCAAGAGCACCGAGCCCGAGTAAAAAAGGAGGAAGTCTCGAGCCGGAGCGTTGTTGTTGTTGGGGGGCCGGTTTTGGCGGAACCCCAAAACGCCTGAGCGTGAGCCTCAATTTCAGAGGAAATGCGGCCGGCGCCTCGGCGAGAGCGCCAGGGCGAATATAGGGGGTCCAACAATAATAATTGTTTAGTAATTAAGGTTCAACAACAACAACAACAACAACAACAACAACAACAACAACAACAACAACAACAACAACAACAACAACAACAACAACAACAACAACAACAACAACAACAACAACAACAACAACAACAACAACAACAACAACAACAACAACAACAACAACAACAACAACAACAACAACAACAACAACAACAACAACAACAAGAGCGACAACAACGGCAGTGGCAGCAGCAGCTGCAACAACAAACACAAAAAAACATTTGACGTACCCAACCCTTTCTATACATGTGGCGATTATACTCAGGATCACTCAATGCTGACTGGCATTCTGAAGGACACGCAGTGCGCAAGAAGAGCACCCAGCAATGAATGATTTCAGACGAGCGCAAGAAGAGCATCCGCGTGGGACGTACCTCCGCTGGGCCTCCCAGCAGCCCACGAAAGTGGCGACGGTTGCGCAGATCCCAAGCCCCCAAGGGATCGGCGAGGTGATCCGCGTAGGACGTACCTCCGCTGGGCCTCCCGGCAACCCACGAAAGTGGCGACGGTTGAACAGATCGCAAGCCCCCCAAGGGGCGGCGAGGTGCCGAGGTGGTCCGCGTGGGACATACATCCGCTGGGCCCCCCAGGAGCCCACGAAAGTAGCGACGGTTGCTCAGATCGCAAGCCCCCCAGGGGACGGCGAAGTACCGAGGTGGTCCGCGTGGGACGTACCTCCGCTGGGCCTCCCAGCAGCCCACGAAAGTGGCGACGGTTGCGCAGATCCCAAGCCCCCAAGGGATCGGCGAGGTGATCCGCGTAAGACGTACCTCCGCTGGGCCTCCCGGCAACCCACGAAAGTGGCGACGGTTGAACAGATCGCAAGCCCCCCAAGGGGCGGCGAGGTGCCGAGGTGGTCCGCGTGGGACATACATCCGCTGGGCCCCCCAGGAGCCCACGAAAGTAGCGACGGTTGCTCAGATCGCAAGCCCCCCAGGGGACGGCGAAGTACCGAGGTGGTCCGCGTGGGACGTACCTCCGCTGGGCCTCCCAGGAGCCCACGAAAGTGGCGACGGTTGTGCAGATCGCAAGCCCCCCAGGGGGTGGCGAGGTACCGAGGTGGTCCGCGAGGGACGTACCTCCGCTGGGCATCCCAGGAGCCCACGAAAGTGGCGACGGTTGCGCAGATCGCAAGCCCCCCAGGGGGCGGCGAGGTCCCGAGGTGGTCCGCGTGGGACGTACCTCCGCTGGGCATCCCAGGAGCCCACGAAAGTGGCGACGGTTGCGCAGATCGCAAGCCCCCCAGGGGGCGGCGAGGTCCCGAGGTGGTCCGCGTGGGACGTACCTCCGCTGGGCCTCCCAGCAGCCCACGAAAGTGGCGACGGTTGCGCAGATTGTAAGTCCTCCAGGGGGCGGCGAGGTCCCGAGGTGGTCCGCGTGGGACGTACCTCCGCTGGGCCTCCCAGGAGCCCACGAAAGTGGCAACCGTTGCGCAGATCGCAAGCCCCCCAGGGGGCGGCGAGAGGTGGTCCGCGTGGGACGTACCTCCGCTGGGCCTCCCAGCAGCCCACGAAAGTGGCGACGGTTGCGCAGATCGCCCCAGGAGCCCACGAAAGTGACGACGGTTGCTCAGATCGCAAGCCCCCCAGGGGGCGGCGAGGTACCGAGGTGGTCCGCGTGGGACGTACCTCCGCTGGGCCTCCCAGCAGCCCACGAAAGTGGCGACGGTTGCGCAAATCGCAAGCCCCCCAGGGAGCGGCGAGGTGCCGAGGTGGTCCGCGTGGGACGTACCTCCGCTGTGCATCCCAGGAGCCCACGAAAGTGGCGACGGTTGCGCAGATCGCCAGCCCCCCAGGGGGTGGCGAGGTACCGAGGTGGTCACGAGAGAAGAGGAGAGGGGAACACAGGAAACAGGAGAGAAGGAGGAGAGAAGGAGGGGAGGAGGAGGAAGGAGGAAGGACGGGGCGACCACACTGTTCTATTCAAAACGAGTACCTCACACAGGAGGGTTGAGAACAAAAGACATAGTTTTGAGACTGTTCGTGCTTACCTGCTCGCGTGCCACCCAACACGTATATCCCAAACCCTCGGTACCCGCCCTGTTCATCTTCGATCGTACCTCCCTGGGAGGGGGCATGTCTTCCTTACCTGCCGAGTGTAATTAGCACAGCCCCTGAAACAGGGAAAGAGAAGACGGAGGGAAGGGGGAGGGAGAAGGATGGAGCACGGGATTAAGAGGGGGCCAGGAGAAGAAAACACGTGGCAGAAGCAGACGGGCCCATCGGACGGGTAGACCCTAACGAGCGGGTCGGAAGGCGGGCCCATGCGGCCAGGTCGAGAAGGCGTGTTGCTGAAGCGTGAGTACTGCATGAACCTCGAGGACAGCTCGAGCGACAGCGCGATTCTCAAGTAAACCGCGAGAATGGCCAAAGCGAGAACATGATTCCTGAGTGCCGAACGCGCGGCGTCTGAGTAAAACTGCGAGGACGCCCACCGCGAGAGCGCGATTCCTGCAGAACTTTGCGGAAGTCCCGCGCGAGAGCGCGACTTGAGAACCAACTGTGAGAAACTATCGGGCGGGACCTGCTGCTTGTCTTTTTAGTTCGGGGCCAGCAACACAATTTGGTGGCACCACGCTTTCCCTGGTAAAAAACAGTGTACGACCCCCGAGGAGGGCACTCCAATTGAAAAAAATTGAATGGCTACCGCAGGGGAGGGACCAACAACAATTATTTGTCCCTCAAATGGCAACTCAACGGCTCCCGCCCGATACTCCCTCACGATCTCTTCATAATCGCGCTCTCGCGCAGGAATCACGCTCTCTCGTGGGACTTCCTGAACTTCCTCGCAGCTTATTGAAACGCCGCGCCATCGGCACTCATGAATCACGCTCCTGCTCTGGATTCCTCACGATTTACAAGCCATCGCTCGAGATTGCTCTGCGATTCATGCAAGACTAACGCTTCAGCGACCCGCCGGCCCGACCCTGCCGTCTGGGCCCGCCCGCCCGACCGGCCCTCTAGGGTCCGCCCAACCGACCTGCACGTCTGGCTATGCCGTGTGTTTTCCTGCTCCCAAACCTGAACCCCATCCTGGTGTTCGCTCTCGTCCTCCATCCTCATCCCTCCCCCTTTGTGCGTTCCCTCCTCCCTCCCTTCCCCTGTGTCAGGGGCTGCCACACGTGGCAGGCAAGAAAGATATACGATATACCCCCAAGCCCCGAGGGGGGCACGATCGAAGACGAAAGGGGTCGGTCTCACGGGTTCGGGATACACGTGTTGAAGGACCGCGAGCAGATAAGAGCGAACAGGCTTAAAATGAATGTTGTTGTCCCCCCCGGCGACCAACCCACGACCCACCCGCGACCCATCCGCGACCCACCCGGGACCCACCTCGCGACCAACCCGCGACCCACCCGCGACCCACCCGCGACCCACCCCACGCCCGCCTCCTCTCTTTTTTGTCCGTGGGTGCGGGGTACTACGTAATGATTCCTCGATGGATTTTGCATGATTTTCATGTTTTTCCCCTTTTCGTGCCTCTGCAAGCCCCAGAATTGCGCAGGAGGCACCCAGAGTGGCCCAAAACGGCCCAAGAGGGTACGGAGACGGCCCCAGGGGGCCCCAAGACGGCCCAAGAGGCACCACCCAGCACGTGAAGCGAAGACCCTCAGGAGGCCCCCAGACGGGCCATAGAAGAAGACCAAGAGGGGGAACCCGCACGGACCACAACGGCCCTCCCCCACAAGAGGGGCCCCAAGACCCACAACCTGACCCCCAAAGGCCCCCAAGAAGCCCCCAGAGGGCCCCAAAAAGCCCCCAATGGGGCCTCGAGAAAGCGCCGAGAGGATGCCCACCTGGTCCTCCAAAGAAGACCCCAAGAAGTCCCAGAACAGCCGCGGAGGAAGAGGAGGACGAATCAGCAACTGAGCTACACGCTGGCCTCACTGCGGGAAGTCGCAAACAGCACGCACGAGATCGGAGGCCGAACACGTTCTCTTCTGGGGGTCAGCGGAATGGCAGAAGCTTTTTGGAAGAGGAATGAAGCTTCGAAGGCGAATGAAGCTTTTTGGAATGAGGAATGAAACTTCTTGGAAGAGGAATGGCAGAAGCTTTTTGGAAGAGGAATGGGCACAGGAGGACGAAGACTTCGACGGCGGGGAAGCCGAGGCCCGTGAGGAGTGCAAGAACAAAAAGACGGAGCCACTTGGCTAGCCATTACAGGGCAGGTTTAATACATGGGATTCTTAAAAAGGTGTTTAAAGCAAGCATTATTAATGTATGAATTCGTGTATGCATGAACTCATCGTTGTTTTTAGTACAAATCCCTGCATTTCTAATACATAATCCGCACGCGGAGCATGTATAAAAACGGCACTGTGCTTCTTTGGATCGCCCACTGCGCACACCCACACGTCCGCAGTCAGATGTGACCAAGTCTCGTATCAGGCAGGACCGATACGTTCAGACCAGCCCAAATCACACAATCTACACCCGAGCAGACCAGATGAGTCCGGACGCGACCAGGCGAGACCAGACCAAAGACCTATTTCATGTTAGACCAGGCAAGATGGGAGCCAGACAGTGGTCGATGGAGGAGCTCGCGAAGTCACGCAGGGCATTTGAAATAACCTCTACAGCTTTGTGCGTCAAACCGCGCAGACGTGTGTTGCGAGCAGATGGCACCTGGCCCTGCGCGGCCAGCACCACCCCTTCAATGTCGGCCATGGGCCGAACGCCGCCGCAATTCCGTCACAGCGCGAGGCCAACAACTTCCCAGTATCGAAGAGTGGCGCCGAAACCAATGTCCTGGCGGAAACGCTGATGTCCTGTCGTTGTGGCTGGTTTTGTCGAGGGTTGCGAGAAGCCTGAGAAAGGCCCGCAGAAGCCCCAGAGAGGCCTCTAAGATGGCCTCAAGAGAACGCGAAGCCCGCAGAAAGCCCGCAGAAAGCACTGGAACGCACTTTGGAGGGCTCTCGGGGGCACTCTTGGGGGCATCTTGCGGCCTCTTGGAACCTTTGCGGCGCCCAAGACGCTGGACACGGTTGGCGGCTTCGAGATTTGTGCAGTCTTCGAGCCCTCCTGAAGCCCTCCTGGAGCTGTTGGGGTCATACGGGGTCATCTTCGGAGCCTCTGGGGCCGCCTTCGGCCCCTCCTGGGACACTCTTGGGGCCATCTTGAAGCCATCTTGAAACCTCAAGAGCCCTTCGGGGGCAACAAGGCGTCGAGGACACGAAAACGTTGATGATCACTGGGTGCTTGAAGGACTCTGGCTCCTCGGGGAGCTTCTGAGCGGCGTCTGGAGAGGCCACCTTGGGCGGACTTGAACCTGTCTGAGCGTATCTTCTAGGGTTCTCTCTCCTCTTGCCGTGAACTCGTCCTGTCCGGTCCGGTCTCATCTTGCCCGGCCGTCTGCAGCCACCTTGGCGGCGCCTTTGGGCCGTCTTGGAGTCAACTCCACGCAGGCTTTGTGGCCGCCCGTCGACCGGAGATGTCCGCCCGCCCTGTGAGTGGAAGTCCCTCCCCTGAGGGCTGGAGGGAGGGAGGTCACGGCCAAACAGGGGGTCCAAGATGGCCCAAGACGGCTTCGAGGTGGCCTCACATGACGGAAGCTGACCCCCAACATGGAACAGTACAGTCCAAGATGGCTCTCGGGCTGGTTTTCGACATGCCCCCGAGAGGCCGCAAGACGGGCCCAAGACAGCTCCAAGTGGCCACGGAGACTCCCAGGCCAAAATCATGCACAGGCTAACTGATTGATCGCACGTTAGCTTCCGATGGGCTCCTGGGTCCTCAAAATTGCTCTAAGAACGCCAAAGACAGCCCCGAGAGGGACCTGGGAGGGCTCCGGTGGTGATCCCCAATCTTGATCAATGAGTTGGGCAAACCAAGCCACCCCCACACCCAGCACATCAGATGTTGTATTTCCAAAGCTTCCTCTGGGGCACGCGGCCAGACGACCGCCGTCGGGCTGCTTGTGCCCCAGGAGAACCCTTGGCAATGAGCGAAAAATGCAGGAGCCAAGGGGCGGGGAAAAGCGTTAAACTAAAGACAGCCTTTTATGCACACCCACAACTTTGCGTTCAAACATTGGCACCACAGTATCCCTTGGAACACTCATCAAAGCACGTCTTCTCATATATGCACGACGGACATGCTGCAAACATACGCTCGCGTGAAATATACACCCGAGGAAGAATAAGGAGCAGGAAAGACGATTGTGCAAAGCACGAGAAGGCGTATCAAGATACACGGAAGAGGGTAATGAGAAGAAGGACGAGGAAGAGGAGGAGGCGGGAAACGGGTCAGAGCCAGAATACGAAAAGTACACTGGAAAAGACAAAGACGATGATCATATTATGGAGCTGCTGGCGATCAGGCAGTGTTAGAAAAGCATGGCTTAGTGAAAATAATGACGACAGCTATGATCCGGTCTTTCAGGGTGGCGAAGTGAGGCCTCGCTCCCACCCTGTGGAGGGGGAAGCGCAGCGCCTCAGCTGCTCACTCGTTCTTAGCTTTGCTTCGTAAGCAGACGGCGGGTAGCTCCTTGACGAATCGTCCTCGACCCGTGGTGCATGCAAATGCTAATCGCCATGACGAGCATAGCTTTGTAAACCAATCCAAACCACACTGTAGGAGGACGGCACCGATAGTCCATGGTCCAGTCATATTCGAATACGTAACACTCGCGTTCGCCAATTTTCCACCTGTGGAACATGCACTCAGGGCCCACATCCAAATACGAGCACAAAACAAATACGGGCCAATGGCACGAGTAAATCTCATATGAATATGTCCCACACCATGTGGCCATCGGGTTACACAAAACCATCCTGGAGAGTCGCTTACAAGCCAAGTCGAACCTGGACGTGTAGTCCGTTGTCTGATCGTAATCTGGGTGGCATAAGAAGAAAGGTATAAAGGGTACGAAAGGCGTATACTCTAAAATACAATCTAAAGCGAACACCTGAAGTTGATACTTTCCCTGGTATCGAAAAAACACAATCACTAATAGAAGCAAAACCATGCAGTTCCCCAGTCGCCTTGCTTTTATTGCACTGGCCTGGCAATCTTCGGCTTCACTCAAGAACCAGAGCTTGTGCCGCAAACGAAGGCCGAAAACCATTCCGATCACTACCTGACTGAACCGGAAGACTGGATTGTAGTGCAGCACAAGAGGTATACGAGTCTTAACGCACACAGAAGACACAAATGGAATTGCAATAACAGATGCACCGCAACCAAAAAAAAAACGCCAGCCCTCCCAGGGGTGCAAGTATGTGTAGCGCGTTGCTGGACTGATGTCTTGCTTCATTCGTGTTGTCTTTGGCTTTGACCTCTCGCCTCTCCTGCCCTGTCTCCTCTGTCAGGAGGGGCCCAACCTGCCAACTACAACAACAAAAAGCATGGGGGGAGGGTCAGACTCCTGGCCGCTCCGAGTTGCCCCAGCATTCCCGCAGGGAGGCCGCCAGCGACCGGGTGAGCCCAAGCAGCCCCAAGGACGGCCCCGAGAGGCCCCGAAGACAGGCTCAAGAGCCCAATGCCGCCGAAGATGGCCCGAGGGGGGGGCCCAGTCGCCCCCAGAGGGGCAGATTCTCCAGCCCAACGGGCCAGAGGCGTGGTAGAGTCTCCGGTAACAGGCCACTGTTTCCCAGCCGTCCTGTCGTGTTGGGTCCTCGTTCTGAAGAGACGGTCCCGCGTGCACTCCTTCTCCCGCTGCCCCCTCACTCGACTTCTCCTCATCATCATCATCATCATCATCATCATCATCATCATCATCATCATCATCATCATCATCATCATCATCATCATCATCATCATCATCATCATCATCATCATCATCATCATCATCATCATCATCATCATCATCATCATCATCATCATCATCATCATCATCATCATCATCATCATCATCATCATCATCATCATCATCATCATCATCCATCATCATCATCATCATCATCATCATCATCATCATCATCATCATCATCATCATCATCATCATCATCATCATCATCATCATCATCATCATCATCATCATCCTCATCATGATCATCCTCATCCTCATCCTCATCATCATCATCATCATCAACATCATCATCCGTTCAAGCACACCCCTCATACGTTTCGTGGCCCCATAGGAAGCTCCACCGAAGGCCACAGTGGCACCGTCCACATGCGTCCGCCACACCCATTTCGGCACACCCCGTCTCACGTTTCGTGGCCTCATAGGGAGCTCCACCGAAGGCCCTAGAGGCACCGTCCACATGCGTCCGCCACACCCATTGCGGCACGGACCAAGATGGCCCAAAAGCAAGTGGCGTCAATTCACTTGCTTGTGGCTTCTCTTCGGGGCCTCCTGGAGGCCTCTTGGGGGCTTCTTGGGGACCCCTCCTGGGGTCCAAGATGGCACCGAGAGGGCCCAAGAAAGCCCAAGGTAGCCCCAAGACGGCCCCGGCGGGCTCCAAGATGGCCCCACGGTGGCGGCCCAAAATGCACCAAAAGCAAGTGGAGTCACTCCACTTGCTTTTGGCTTCTGTTCGGGGCCTCCAATTTCGGCACACCCCTCACACGCTTCGCGGCCCCATAGGGAGCATCACCGGAGGCCCCAGTGACACCGACCGCATGCGGCCGCCACACTCATTTCGGCACACCCCTCACACGCTTCGTGGCCCCATGGGGAGCCCCACCCAAGGCCCCAGTGGCACCGTCCATATGCGTCCGCCACACCCATTGCGGCACACCACTCACACGTTTCGTGACCGCATACGGAGCTCCACCGAAGGCCCCAGTGGCACCTTCCGCATGCGTCCGCCACACCCATTTCGGCACACCCATCACACGTTTCGTGCCCCCATTGGGCGCTCCACCGGAGGCCCCAGTGGCACCGTCCACATGCGGCCGCCACACCCATTTCGGCACACCCCTCACACGTTTCGTGGCCCCATAGGGAGCTCCACCCAAGGCCCCAGTGGCACAGTTCACATGCGTCCGCTCCGTTCTGGAGGTTTTTACGTCCTCCAAGATGGGGTTCGACCTTTGAAGTGAAGGTGTTAGAGGTAGGCTCTTTGGGCGAGGGGCAACGGCAGGGGGAAATTGATCCACTGGGGGGAAGCCTCGAACCCCAATCGCCCATTCATCGCCAGCCAGGGCCAGAGAGGGGAACGAGAGCCTTGGGGGGGGGCATGGTTCGTCTCCCCTCGCGGACGCATCTGGCCTTGCACCGTTGGCTCAAGCATTGTCTGATCAAGCCGCTCATGCTGGATGGCGAATGATTCTGGCTTTGAGAAGGAAAACGCATGTGGCTGGATTATCTAATTGTGGCCAGCTTGGTGCTTCCTTTGGTTTGCTTTCATGCGCCAGGGGTTTCAGCAGGTTGCGTGTTCCAGTCAGGAATTCGTATCACTCTATATCAGACCGTTTCCCGAGTAACGCGAAGTGCCGAGGTACGTTCGCGAAATTGCGATCTTGTACGGAAGATGTGTGTGCCTCTGCAGCTGCGTAAGCTCACCTGCATACACTCTCGCGTTGAATGCAGGTGAACATATCTTTGGCAGCTCCACCCAAGGCCCCAGAGCCACCGTCCGCAAGCGTCCCCAACACCCATTGCGGCACACCTCTCACACGTTTCGTGGCCCTATAGGGAGCTCCACCCAAGGCCCCAGTGGCATCGTCCACATGAGTCC